CTTACCACAATCAGCCATTCGCTGCCCACAATGTCTCACTGCACCATTTGCCATCAAGCAGATCGACCTCATTCCATTTTCCTCCTCGATTGCGCAGGTCATATTGACCACAGGCTTGATCTTCGTAAAGCACCCGCCTTTCCTTTTTGCCCCAGACGTCCATTGTATACTAACACCACCCAGCTTCTGACCTTCACATTCAACATCTTTACCATCCTTCGATCCGGAGCCTCTCAATACGGACACATCTTCACCTGCACACGACCCTCAAACTCTGTACCTTCGCCTCTCTCTCCGCATACCTCTTCCTCTCCCTCATGTACACCCTCGTCATTTTCGCCTTCGGCGTCCCACTCACTGGCCACTTCCACACCCCCGGCTCCGGCTTCATGGCCCTCTGGATTCTCAACTTCCTCACGATGGGTGCCTGCGGCCTCGTCATGGAAGCCGTCTTCACATTTCTCGCGATGCAATGGGCGCTATTCTTCTTGAATATGTGGCTGATTGCAAATACGAGTGGTTCGTTTGGCGGGTTTGAAAGTATGCCGCGGTTTTATAGATATGGGTATGCAATGCCGTTTTGGCATTGTGTGCAGGCCACGAGGACGATTGTGTTTGGGACGAAGAGTCATTTTGGGGTGAATTTTGGGGTGCTAGTTGTTTGGATGGTGGTCGGTTGGGGCGGGATGGTTGCTGGGACGGTGTGGAGGGTGAGAAGCGGCAGGAAGAGGGGAGTACATGTTGTGCCGTAAGCATGAAGAATGGGGAGATATATGAAATGGAAGCGAAGTACGCGTGTCTCGTCATCGAAGTACCGGAGATGTTGTCAGAGTTCGGCAGCTCGGTCGACTTCTCAATTGCAATCATGATTATTGAGGTAGGCATTGACACGGCGTAGCCTCTTTCCTTGATGTACTAGCTACTGCTGTCACCCGAATACCACCACGACGTCCTGCCTGCACATCAGGCCCCTCTTTGTCTGGATCATGTACGCATGCGAAACTCGATGTATTTTCTACGCAGTTGATAAAGTCGTTGGAATGGTGCGGTCTTCGTCCTTTCGTATAACATGCTGGAATCCATGTCGACTTATTTCTCGATGGTCCGTTGATCAGAGCATCAATTCGATGCTTTTGCGGAAGCTTTGTCTTTTGGGACGTATATCGAATTGGGTCTAACCACAAAAGATCACTGTGCCAAGATGGTTATGGTCAAGTCGGCCTTCTTGATTGGATCCTTCGCTTGACACATTGCCAAGGCGACCCTACTTGTTCATACTACTTCACAGCACAGCCTCGCTGCAATCGTATTAGGTTTCGCAAGCATACGTCAGTTGGTTCAGTCGTTTTCAATACCAGTATTGCATCGTTGTTCCTATCGTGTTACCTAGGTACTGTCCGTACAGAGTAGGATGAAACGGATATGTGTGAACACTGTTATGGGGTGCGATTCGCAACCTCGTCTGCCTTGTCGCCCACCAGGCAGCAAGCCATGGCAGATCTGACTGCTCTGAAGTATCGTAATAAGCTCGATTCTCTGGTTGAACGGCACTGAATAGTTGACAAAACGTGGTCGCTGAAGTCAAGGCTCCCACCTCAACTTCAGCAGACTGTCATTGATTCCATTATTATCCATCCATCACGTGCGCTCGGCGCAATGCCCCACGGTGCGCGTTGACAACGCACTCAGGCGGAATGTTGAAGCTCTACTCTATCTTGCGCCCTATCGCAAGTCCCTTTCCATTTCCCAGGTAACGGTCTATGATATGAAATGCTCAAAACTTTTTGGAAAGGGAGGGCTGGTATCTAAAGGGTATAGGTTGCCCAAGACGCCGAATAACTTGTTGAAAAGCTGCATGAATGCCCTGCCTCCAAAGATATGCAACTCATATCGACATCGATGTTCGTGTCGTTAGATTCTTGACCTTGTGGGATGAAGTTGATTCATGCCCACTTCATGCAAAATGTTGTTACAATTATAGCTTCAGCTCCTTGGGCTGCTCCCAGGTGAAGCTCTGGTTGGTGAAATGGCCGTTCTTGGCGGTCTGGTTGTAGATGGGGTTCGTTAGGTTCAGCTCCTTCACGATAACACCGGGACGGAGGTCGAAGTTGTTAAGGATGATCTTGACAAGTTCCTCGGATGACTTGTCCGAGGTGCCGTAAGTCTCGACGAAGAGAGAAAGTGGCTCAGCGACACCAATGGCGTACGAGAGCTGGACAAGCGCGCGACGGGCGAGCTTGGCGTTAACGAGCGACTTGGCGATCCAGCGCGCAAGGTAAGCAGCAGAGCGGTCGACCTTGGAGTAGTCCTTGCCAGAGAAAGCACCACCACCGTGGGCTCCCCAGCCGCCGTAGGTGTCGACGATAATCTTACGTCCGGTGAGACCAGCATCACCCTGAGGTCCACCAATGATGAAGAGACCAGAGGGCTGGATGTGGTAGACAGTCTTGTCGTCGAGCAGCTCAGCGGGAATGACCTTCTTGATGATCTTCTCCTTGATCTCCTTGCGAAGCTCCTCGGTGGTGATGTCCTCGCTATGCTGGGCAGAGACAACGACCGTGTCGACGCGCTTGGGAATGACAGCGCCACCGTCGTGAGCGTACTCGACAGTGACCTGAGTCTTGGTGTCGGGGCGCAGCCAGGGAAGAGAGCCGTCGTTACGGGCGTCCTTCATGGCCTTGTTGAGCTTGTGGGAGAGGAGGAGGGTCAGGGGCAGCAGTTCGGGGGTCTCATCGGTGGCATAGCCGAACATGATACCCTGGTCACCAGCACCGAGCTTCTCGAGGGCCTCCTCGTAGTGCAGACCCTGGGCAATATCGGGCGACTGCTGCTCAATGGCAACGAGGACGTTGCAGGTCTTGTAATCGAAGCCCTTTTCGGACGAGTCGTAGCCAATATCCTTGATGGCATTGCGGATGATCTTCTGGTAGTCGAGGTGCGCCTTGGTGGTGATCTCGCCAAAGACCATGATCATGCCGGTCTTGGCGGCAGTCTCGCAGGCGACCTTGGACAGCGGGTCCTCCTTGAGGCAGGCATCGAGAATGGCATCCGAGACTTGATCGCTGTTGAGTGCGGTAAGCGGAGGCTCGGGGTCCGAGGTGCATCACGATTGTGCCGAGTCCAAAAGTACCGATGCTTATCCTGGAAACAGCGCAATGGAGGGGCAGGAGTGGGTCGTGTACATACCAGATCTTATCCGGGTGGCCCTCGCCGACAGACTCGGAGGTGAAGAGGAAGGTGTTCTGGACAACGGTAAGGTCACTGCGGGGCTGCGTTAGGCTTGGTGAAGTGTACCTTGCTGGCGTCGAGGCCATTGGCGCCGTTGGAAGTGGTTCCGTTCATTTTCGCAAGTGTAGTATGAAATATACTAGTGTAGGACTTGCGACCGCGTGTGTTATGGCAGAGTGATGGGAGTGAGGGGGGAAGCGGGCGCGAGGGGCGGAGGGTTCTTATTGCTTTGCGAGGCTATGCAGTTGCCGAAAAAAACGTGCACAACCGTCGCAGCTAAAGGCACAATGGCGTGCTAGTGCGAGTCTCGGAGCGCGGCCCAAGCCAGTCATCCTCACCGCCTGCCGCCCAGCCAATCCCGCCGCCTCCCCACCAGGCCCTTGACCGCCCGCACGCCAGCAGAAAGCGACCCGCAGCGGCTGTCGACACAATTTCTCCCGCAGATGACGCGCTGCAGGCCCAACGGCAACAATGAGCAAATTCGGGACGCTGGTTATGGTCGGTACAGTCACTGTTGCTAGGTGCTGCTCTTGACAGCTGATACTTTCTAGGGCCCAGCTGGGGCGGGCAAGTCCACCTTCTGCACCGCACTCATACAGCACCTCCAAAATAACAAGCGGCCATGCTTCTACGTAAACCTCGACCCAGCCGCCGAAGAGTTCGCTTTTGAGCCCGACCTCGACATCAAGGACCTGATCAGCCTCGAAGATGTCATGGAGGAGATGAGCCTCGGGCCTAATGGCGGACTAATCTACTGCTTCGAGTTCCTCATGGAGAACCTCGACTTCCTGACCGACCCGCTGGAGGAGGTCACCGAAGACTACCTGATCGTCTTTGACATGCCGGGTCAAATAGAGCTGTACACGCATGTGCCTATCCTGCCAGGCCTGGTCAAGACGCTCATGCACGGCTCGCTGAACATCCGCATGTGCGCCGCCTATCTCCTCGAAGCGACCTTCGTCATCGACCGACCGAAGTTCTTCTCAGGCACATTGTCCGCCATGAGCGCCATGATGATGCTCGAGATGCCGCACATCAACATACTGAGCAAGATGGATCTGGTCAAGGGCCAGATAGCGAAGCGCGACTTAAAGCGATTCGTCGACGTGGATGCAGACCTGCTCGATGACGACCCATCGCGCAAGGTGAGGTCGGAGGCAGAAGAGCGGAAACACGTTGACCCGGCGTCCAAGGACAGTCTGATGAACGGCGCCTCGTTTCACAAGCTCAACAAGGCAGTTGCAGAGCTTATCGACGGCTTCAGCATGGTCAGCTTCCTGAAGCTGGACGTGCAGGATGAAGACAGTCTGGGCGCAGTACTGAGCTACATCGACGATGCTGTGCAGTACCATGAAGCGCAGGAGCCGAGAGAACCAAAGGAGTTTGACGTCGACATCCAAGAGGACTAGGGAACATTGGCGACAATGTGCACGTTTGGTGTTCCGAATTTTAGCGAGCTTGCGATTTGCATTTGAAGGCGTCTGTTGGCTTTGGATTAGATAAGGCGGCATTTTGAACACAACCCTCCGCAAGAGAGGTATGTGTAGGATTGGAAAATGATACCCAGGAGATGGATAAATAAAACGTAATTGTCCCTTTTGATGTTATCGTGAATGCACTTGATGAAGAATGAATCAAGGCACATATCTTTCGCACCACCAAATCCGCATGTCTTCAGGAAAAGGCCGCACCAAAAATACCAAAATTATCGTCAGCAGCACCAGTGCGACCCCGCGACTATCGGTACAGGTGCGTAACTCAGCAAAAAGTTGTCTCCGCTCCCAGAATCGAACTAGGGACCTTTCGATTACAAAGTAATATTACAGTCGAACGTGATACTAAACAGAATTAGTAGGCTGTTTGATAAAGGTCTCATAGGTAGTACTGACAACCAACTACACCAAGCGGAGGTATGCGATGACTCAGTTCGTGCTTGGAATCCTGTTGGATTTGATGTTCGATAGATAGAATTGTTCGATTATAGACCGTACACAGACTAGCAAATAGGTGCTCCAGTCCCAAGGTGAGGGATTCGACACATCAGCTGTGGGGTCGTGAAAATCTAGCTGGCTACCTAGGTCCACTCTACTGTCGGTAAAGGTCACTCACGAACTTGGATGATTCTAGTCTTCGTTTAGCACCAAAATCTACCCGCATTGAAGCTGCACGACCACTCACACACGCGCGCAGCACACCACAACTTCAGCCCGATCACGGCTGATCTCTGTTACATCAGGAGTCATTTTGATCCGAATTCTTCCATCTCACCATGGCCGACGTAGCCGACGATGAATGGGAGTACGAGTACGACGAAACCGAGGCCGAGGACTTTTACATCCCAATCGACCTCTCCAATGTTCCTAGTGCGCAAGTTCCAACAAACTCAGAGCGAAGGCCTGGACATCCAACATTGCTCAAGAGCAGACTGCGAGCGCTCAATGCAACTCGAGGACAAGCGCCGGGGATCGCGAATAATGCAGGTGAAAGTGGCGCGCAAGAGACAAGCACCATGGGCGAACTACAAATCACTGGTCTCCACACGCCAAACCCTCTCATTATGTACAACGGAGACCTGCTGAGTTGCCACTGGACCTCGACCATTGGGACTGACATGTTCTTCACCAAGCCCGAGGCGGACAACAGCGACCTTGGCGAGCCTCTTCGAACGCTACCTTCTGTCGATCTGCTGTCTCTAGGTACGGCCAAATTGGACGCAAGAGTTGGACGCTTGCGACCACGAGATGAGCTCTTTGACGACGACAACGGACAGCAGGGCACGAATGGTGAAGCAGGACCGAGTCAAGGTGCCGATGTACCTGCGCTGCCAAAGCCGGCAGTAGCTGAGAGCCCTACGCATCGCGCAAGTATAGACAGTACGGGCTTTCTGGCAAGGCTGAATGAGGCGAAAGCAAGGAGAGGAGACTCGTCTCTTCTTGTGGTTGCTCAGACACCCGAAGGAACTCGACTTGTATCTGCTCCTATGCCTGTCGCAGTACGACCCAACGAAAGTGATCAGCAATTGTCGCAGGATATCATCATGAGTGGTACATGAGGCAGGAGCTTGATGTTGATCTTCACCAAAAGCTCAATGTTCCGGATTGTGAGTGATGCACTCTGTAAAGAAAATCATATAATGGTGTGGGATTCGAAATCACGGTGTGGCTCGAACATGAGATGAAGTGGGAAGGTGGAGCTCGACGACGTGAGCGCTTTCCAAAGCACATCGCGCCTACCGCATTCCTCTCGATCGCCAAAATTTGCTCATGAGGCAAAGATCGTAGGCCCCAAAGGGTTCTCGCGTTGCCCGACCAATCTGATACACCATGGCCGTCGACCGGTCGCACCCCTCGATAGCATCTTATCCTAAATGATATCCTTAACTCTGCGCGCGGTATCGAGGAGCAACAACGATCATATCCAGCATGATTCCTGTGCCGCGCCATGCCCGCCAAAGGCGCAAAGACAGACTGAATATCAACATCGTTCCCGAAGACGCTCTGACACCACAAGTTCGTTTGCCCTACTTGCACTGGCTGTTCGGCGAAGACGGTACCGACTGCTATACCACGCGTCTTCTGAGAGACGACTATATCGACGAGCACGGTCATGCTGAAGATGGGAAAGTGGAAACAATTATCATGGGCGAAGTCACAGACTGGATAGAGTCACGCCACTGTGACGCATTCTGGGCACCAAGGACCAGGCAACCGCGAAAGGTGAGCAATCCGAACGTGGCGTACTCTACACATCTGACACGGCTAGGTTCTCCCTACCGTGAGCCAAGTATTGAGACAACATGAGAACATACGTCACTTCGCAACGCCTCCTACCAGTGGCCATGAAGCCTTCAAATCACTGCTCCACGCAATTGCACTCCAGTTGCTCGCGTCATGTTACACCCTGCTGCCCGCCTCAGGTGCGGCCAACTTACCATTGGTGCAGCAAAGACGGCATCCGGAGCGAGTGACAGCGTTGCATTTACAGTCGCAGTATCAATATGAACCTGCCGCTGGCCACCATGCTCGAGCACCTTCCGAGGTAGCCTCATGGCCCGGGCTGTTTGCGGAACTAAAACCTGAAGATACTCTCGCGGAACAAGTCAGTAGGAAGCGGCGATTGAAATGCAGCAATGGATACACTCCTCGCTTTGCGGCAATTGGATGGACTGACGGATCATCACCATCAGGAACACATCACGCTCGTGACGAGTCTAATTCCACAGCAAACTCTACCTCGTCGTCTGAGCCCGGTTTTCTCTCAAGGTTGATCAGTCCAGCCTCAACTCCCAAAAATTCGCGGCGCAAAAACAACACAATGTTCACGAGCCGTTTATCGCCGATGAAAAAGAAGCAGGGGACCTCAAATCCGGGTCGCGCCGACCCTCCCAAAGCGCCTCGTAACCCGTCAAAACCTTTCCAAAGTCTAACCTCTCGAGCTGTCCAGCGTATACCTTCCGCTCTCCGCCTGCGTCGTACACAGTCCGCGCCACGAATCGCAGTCGAGGGTGATGCACCAGCAGAAGATCCGTCCAAGTCTCGACGCCACAGTTCGAATCCTTCCAAAGGCAGCACATTGACTTATCCATTCGAGATACCACAAATACGGCGTATATCCGCAACACCAGCGGCCAGTAAACACAGGAAGAGCGTCTCCCATGCGGTAAGGGCGTGTGGGAGAGGCGACATGATACTTACGAGGGATTATGGACAAGAGGACTCAGTGGACAGTTTCGTGCAACCGCTTCACGATCAAGGCAATCTGTTGACCGTCCCATCACAACCCGAACAAGATGTGTCCCCAGCCACAAAGGCGCCATTCACTGCCTCAGCGATCGCTTCGAGGTCACAATCTCCCCCAGCGGACTACTTTCTTCCGATACAGTCTGGTCCGAGGTCCCAGGATTCGCAACGGGATTACTTCAACAGTGTCCACACAGCGAGAGATATCGACGACGAGGACGACAGTCTTGCCGCCGGGAATAACTTGACTGATCAGCGTGAAGATGCGGGGCCTCGCATTCAGGACTCGCCAGTGTTACAGCGCATCTCCACCAGGCTGGATACGTGGGATGAACATAGGTCGGAGGAAGATGATTCGAGTGAGAGCGATATGGAGCGGTGCTGGAAACGGAAGAGCATCATGATGGAGGCGGGCGATTGTGAGTACTTTGTTGCGAAGCAGGACAGACCTGACGACGGACTAATTATGGAAAGATAAAATTGTGTACACCTCTAAACCAACCCTGTCATTAATTAGACACCGAATGCACCCAATTTTAGATTGTACATGACCATTTGAGATCTTTTGCCTCATCCACCTTAGCTCACAGCACCTGCCGGCCTGTCCATGCGATATACCAAAGTGTCCCGCAACCCCAGCACCGGATTCTCAAAGTCTTTGTCCCTTCTGTCGTGCAACTTGAAGCCAGCCTTCAGCAAGACAGACTGGCTGCTCACAAGCTCCGTGTCGGTCAAAGCCTCAGCGTAGGCGAAGTCTAGATAATGCTCAAAGAACATGGGTATGAAGCCACGCAGGGCTTCAGTCGCGTAGCCCTTGCCCCAGTATGAGGAGTTGAACATGTAGCCGATCTCAGGAGCGCGGACGGCGCCAATGAGACCGATCACTCGGGGTTCAGAGGTGAACGGAGAAAGTGTGGTAGGCTTGGAAATGTTCGACGTGATGAGCTCGACCGCGAAGTTCCAATTGTTGTCTGTGGTCTGAGTTAGGTATGTCGTACTGGCAAGCGAGCTTCACGCGTACCTCTGTCATGGCAGCCTTGTATCCATTCCTTCGTCTTGTCCAGATCGTCGTCGGGTAGAAGAGGCGTATGCTTCATCACCTCTGGATTGCGTCGCATGAGAACCACATCCTCTGCGTCTTCCAGCTTCAATGGTCGAATAACCAGTCTCTCCGTCCTAGCCACATAATTCGGATCGACAACAACCATCCTCAACACTCGTCGCGAGAAAAGATGAGGGAAATGCCATTGTGCGGTGTGCTACGCGATTACAGAGTCATGTCGATGGCTTGTAAACTCGTGCTTCTCCATGACGGCGAGCCTCGCGATAGGAAATCAGCTAGCCGCATCCAGACACCGATATTTCGAACTTCCAACCACAACCCTCCGCCTCACTGCATCACGCATCCCCGGACCTAATCATCATGGCGCCCTGACTGGTCCAGAAATAAACCTCGAAACCTTGTTCAACAATATCGCACGATTCAAGCCGCAACGCCATGTCGAATTCGATTCTTTCCGCTTCCGCCACTGGAGCGTCGTTTCTCATCCTGCTGCAGGTCGCGTCCCGTGCGCTCACATTCGCTGTTAATCAGGCGCTGTTGAGGTTTCTCTCGCCTGAGCTACTCGGCGTGTCTGCTCAGCTCGAGCTGTTCTCGATTTCCGTGCTGTACTTTGCGCGCGAAAGCCTGAGGGTCGCTTTGCAGAGGCAGGCACATGGCACACAAGCAATCGTTAACCTGTCATATCTGGCCGTCTTTTTTGGCACGCCTCTGGCATATGTGCTAGCGCTGTTCTGGCTGCGTTCGGACACACCGGCAGTTCCTTACTTCACGGAAGCATTGCTCATCTACTGCCTCGCTACTTTTCTTGAGCTGTTGTCCGAGCCTGCCTTTTCGGCCGTTCAGCAGAAGCTGCTTTACAAGACCCGTGCTTCAGCAGAGAGTTCAGCAACTCTCTTGCGCTGTTTCGGAACATGCGTCTCAGCTGCCCTCGCCAGTCGTACGGGTGTCAACGTTGGCGTCTTGCCGTTCGCGATTGGGCAATTGGCATATGCCTTGACTCTGGCTGTCGTTTACGCCTACAAGACATGGCCTGTTGCGAAGTCTGATGGCTTTTCACTCTTTCCAGAGAGACTACAGCCAACTTCGATGAAAGACAACTCTGCTGTAC